GTGCAATCCATTCGAACTTAGGTTCAATCATTTAAAGATAGGTGTAATTATTACCCCTATTTTTAACTCATTTAGACCTATCTTCAATTCAATTGTATCTATCATCAATATATTTAGAGATATGTTCAATAATTTTAAGATAGGTACAATTATTTGATTTGTACCTATCTTCAAATATAAGGACCTATAATACATGTATCTTCAAATCAATTGTACCTATCTCTAATTGATTTGAAGATAGGTTTCATTCAATTATACCAATCTATAATTCATTTGGAGATAGATATAATTGATTTGAAGAAAGGTATAATAGAATTGAAGATAGGTACAAATACTAAGAATTAAATATAGGTATGACTGATTTAAAGATAGGTGCAATTGAATTGAACCTAGGTATAAATGATCTATCTTCAACTCATTTATGGAGATGTTTTAATTGCACTTATCTTCAGATGATTTAAAGATAAGTATAATTCAGTTGAACCTATCGGTGATAAATTTTGAACCTATTTTAATGGAATTGAAGACATGTAGGTTTGATTCATTTAAACCCTATGTTCAATTGTTTAAAGTTATGGTAAATTATTTAAACCTATCTTTAATTCATTTAGGCCTATCTTTAATTCCAATGTACCTATCTTCAATTCATTTGAAGATAGGTTCATTTATTTGATTGATTGATTTGTATATTGTTTTAAATCCCTTTCGAGAATTTTTTACTCATATAGAGACGTCACCATATACTGGTGAAGGGCTTCAAATTTAGATCTTTACTCGGAACTCAGGGCCGTTGAGCAGTGAGGGTTCTTTATCGTGCCAACGCCTACTGTGACACAGGGCCTCGGCTTTTTAGGTCTCATCCGAAGGACCCACACCTTTCACTTGAAAGTGCCGAGTGCTTGACGAATGAAAATTGCTACCTATTTTTTTTTTTATGGATTTAGGTCAGTCGCGACCGTGATTCGAACATACGATCTTCCGATCACGGAGCGAGCGTTCTACCAACTGAGCTACCGTGACGGCTTCAATTATTTGAAGATAGGTTCAAATAATTATTTGAATATATGCTAATTTGGCGTACCATATTTACGCAGTAGCCATTTCATCTTTGCAAGATGATTGGAGGGTCCTGCAGATGTGCCATAAAGATTCGGAATTTTCATTTTCACACTTGGGACCAAAGTGGGTGTTAAAAATGATTTTTTTTAAAGGTTCTAATTAGGGTTGATTTTTAACTATTTTTTTCTGGAACGCCTCTTCTTAAACCAGAATTTACTTCATTGCAATCTTTATAGACCCGTACTCAATTTATTATATGAAATACTATCATACGAGTCCTAAGATCGTATGTTCACTTGCGCATTTTATGCTCAATTTAATACATTATACATAATTCATTTAAATTATTGAATAACTTTGTGACGTTTTTGCTACCCAGATACAAGGAGCTAGCGTACATTTAGAGGCAGACAAGTACGTGCAGGTAATACTGTCTTACAACAGCATCTACTTATTTGGTCAATTTAAATAAGAAAAAATAAACAGTTGATTTACCCAAATCTTTATTCATAAATCGAAATCGGAAAGCTGCATTTTATGAAATTTCTACTCCGGAATAAATCGCTTCAGGAAAATAAAAGATTTGTTATTTCTCACAATTCTCATTTGTCTGGATCAAGTGAAATGAAATTCAGATTGTACAGATAGCTGACGGAGGGTTCCTAGCTAGATTGATTGATGAATTATATAAATGGGTAAAATCCTTGGCTCCACTGGTTTCTGACAATAAGTAATTATTTGAATTCTGTAACTGTGGCTATTAAGTAATTTAAAAAAAAAGGCTGACATGACTTGTTAGCTCTGAATTTGCACTTTGATGAACTGAAAAATGGAATGAGTATTAAATGGTTATTGAATGTTTGGAGTTAATGCAGAAGCGTTTCTTACAAAAGCTCAAAATACTTCTGTGTTTTAATTTTTTCACCAAGTAAATTCAAAATTTACAACATGATACTGCTAATGAAACTGTTTTATTCTTAAATATTCTTCTCATCCACAAATACAGATATTAACTGAATTTTATTAATGATTCCCTTAGTTTTGGACTATTTTTGAGACTCTCTCAGAGATGCTTAATGTAGTAATGAGTCTACAACATGAAATGAAGTTGTAGTCTTTAAAATGTACATTCACTGAAAACATATTTCTAAACAAAAGTGTTTTGCAAAAGTCCATATGATGAATTCTGGAACAGAGTCTCTCTTGTTGATGACATAGTTATAACACAAAGAATCTCCATTTACCCATGAGTAAAGTTACAGATATGGAACAAGAAGAATAAGAAATCGGTACGGTGACAAACCACATGCTCTATCTTATAAGTGATTTTTACACTCTGGAGGTGCTGTGATAGTATGTAAAGATGTTATTTAAATCCCTAGTAAGACTCTAAACAATTCATATAATTAAGATGAAATATGAAGATAACGAACAGATATCAAGCTCAAAAGTCCATTGAATCAGTATATGATGTAAATCAAACACAGATCGTTCTAAAACACTAGAAGTGGGATTAGGTGCCATGGAGGAGTAAGCATCCCCTGTCGACTGATCACTCCAGCCTTTTGCTCCCTATCATGACTGGGCAGTGTGCTCCTCGTCAAGATCGTGCAAACGAAAAAAATCCGTAGACAAATCAGTGTGAAAATAATGGTCCAACAATTTGTATGCAAAACGTCAGTCAATATTCTACTTAACGATAAATTGTATATTTGCTAACAAGGTTCTTGTACCGACCATAGAATTTGTGAAATTTGGACTTTCAATGACTGTTGATATCCTTGTATCACCAGCTTATTTGTTAATAGCTTGCCTCGTTTTGGAAATCATTCATACTTAAAATATGCTCTTGCAAATTAGATGGGAGACATAGACTCCATATGCAGGTAATAATGGTAGGAAAGTTGAAGTCATCTCGTTTATCATAAAGTTTAATTTAGTTGTTAGTTTGCCTAATCAATTGTTGATCTTTGTTCTCCATAATCAAAAGGATCATTATTATATATTGGTTATAAAATTATAGAAATCTAGATTAACTAAGATTTGTCACTATTATACAGCCATTTGTATTTAGATTTGAAACTGGGAGTATTCATTTAAAATGTTTGATACGGTATTAAAAAATAGAACAAAACAAAACGCTACATGCATACACTTGTACTTGTACAAATCTACCCAATATGTTTGTCAGGTACTATAATATCAATTGTATTTCTCAATGTCAAGATCTATTGATGAAAGTTACTTGTCAATATTTCCATTGATTCAGTGTTAAGGTTGATACATCCGTGACTGTACTGTTTGTCTATCTTCATCATGTTCTCTGTCATACATTTTCAATGAAATATCGATGAATCTGATTAAAATTCTGAGACAATCTTATAAATTAAATTCATCAATGAACCGTGAAATTTATAGAGTTCACTTTCTGGTACTTTTATATATTGTTGGGTCGAAACGTGCAATTTTGTTTACGAGATTTGGAATTAAAAATCTGATTCACAGCATTAGGCATGCATAGTGTATTAAGATAAAACCGGTGCTTTGCTCAAACAGTTACGAAGAATATGTGATACGTTAGTACTTACACTTTAAAAGAAATAAACTTTTGTAATGTGAGTAGCTCTGCCCTACTTTGTGCCATCAAGATTTGTTGCAACGGAAAACTAACAAGCACTCAAGACACAACAAGCAAGCAGATACTTAGTTCTTAGAACCTAACAAGAAAGCATCCATTGTATAGCATCTGCAAAAGTTATTCACATTCTGGAGAACCCCTCTATTTGGTCATATGTCAGGAATGTTGACAATGGTGTCCATGGATACCTTTTTGTCGATTTGAATGACCTACTTGGGTAACCTGTTGTGGGACTGCGGTCACCCACTTGACAAGACGCTGGCATCTCGAGGCTAATTGTGAGGAAATTAAAGTCCTCGAGTCAACCAAACCATTACAACCAAACGATTTTATTCAAACACTTGTGAGACATTAATAAGAAAGATTAATGACCTGTTTTAGGATGAATCATTTAAATTCTTTTAAAGCCCTCTTATATTTCGTTTCAGATAGAAATGTTAAGTATTAATTTGACTTTGTTCTGAACAAAATCTACATAAATTCTGTTTTGATGTTTATTTCAACACTTGATTGAAACATTTGGTTTCGATGTTTCATCCAATAAAAAAGAACATTCAATGGGCTCCATAATTAGACGAGATACGTGCAGGAGAAGAGGCTTAATTAGATTAAGCAATCTTGTAAGTGATCGTTTCCCTTATAATATAATTGTTTGCACAGTCACGACTATCATGAAATATTTACTCAAGTCTTAATGTGAACAAAAATTGAAGATTCTTAAAATATTTTAGTGAGTTTTGTCTTTACTTTTTTTTAGAGACAAATCATAGTTTATCTTGATCATACACTTTCTGTACTTAAATGTTCTACAGCACTGTGAATATCTTCAATATTACCCTTTCTATGAAATGTAAGGAGATAACAAACAGTATTCAAGCTAAAAAGTCCCTTAAACAATACAAATTTTGGTGTAGAGCAAACACGGACCTCTAAAACATCAGAGGTGGGATCAGGTGCCATGGAGGAGTGAGCATCCCCTGCCGATCGGTCACACCCGCCGTGTGCTCCCTGTCATGATTGGGTAGTAACGGGAAAATCCGTCAACAATATAGTGTGTAAATTATGGAGTAACAATTAGTATGAAAAACGTCAGTCGGCATCTGACCCAATGACAAACTGTATTTGCCGACAAGGTCATAGTATCTGACCCAATGACAAACTGTATTTGCCGACAAGGTCATAGTATCGACCATAGAACGTACGAAATGACGACTTTAAACGAGACAGCTGATATTCTTGTTTCTTGCAACTATATAGTTAAATTTTGAACAAAAACTCCCAATTATACATGTAGAACCAAAACTGTAATGATACTGAATTTTATTGTTTTACAATATTCATAATTTTGATGCAGTAGATCGGTGAAAACATTCAATACATTATATGTTATGAAAAATTTGGTTTCTCGTATATAGACATGCATTTGCAAGTCCAAATTGTTTTCGCATTGAAGCAAGAAGTGTAATATAAATTATTTTATTGTATATTTATAGACTAGAATTTCATTGCACATTTAATTTAGAGCCCTTAATGGCTAAGGCTATAAATCCATTAGCATATAATAAGCCTACTGTGTCAATCATAACAATACTTAAAATATATATAAAAAAAATATTTAAAAAATAAAATAAATGATAAAAATTAAGCCCTAAAATCATTGGCAAGTACGAATATTTGTGCATGCACCATGTAATGTTGGCAGTGACTATACATCGCTGATGTCAGATAGTTTTGAAGACCTTATTTCTTCATAAATATTGTTTAAGCTTTCCAGCGAGCGTCTCTCCAATGCGGAAAATTTGTCTGTTTCCGTCTGACTAGCAGACGATGAAATGGGAGTTTCGTATCCGTCTTCATCTTGGCGAGAATAACTATGATTGAGAATAATATCGGGGGTGTTATTCCTCATGATTGTCTGTTTTGGTGGATTCATCATGTAGCGAAGCTTCTCCCAGAAACACATGTCATGGTAATTTACCACTGTACTTGAATGAGATTTCACAAGTTCATTTAAATTTCTTTGTAGGTTCATCCCTTTCGGATCTTCCAAAAGAACGATTATGAGATTATTATTTCTTCGAAAAAGAGTTTGAAATGAGTTGTAAAATGCACTATTCTTCCATTCATGATCATTGAAGTTTTTAGACACCAGTAAAATCGTCCGTTTAGATCTGTCAATGTTGCACGCGATTGTTTCTTCCATAGTTCCACCCACTGGAAAATCTCTGTAATACACACAAAGCTTATATCCCAGTTCATTCTCCAAACGTGGAATGAATTCTCGTGTGACGTAATCATCATCCCTATGACTGTAAGCAAGGAAAGCATCATAAAGTTTGTCATTTTCTCCTACGTTTCCCTTTTCGCTTCGACATTTACAACTGCAACGAAAAAATGGACTTCTAGGTCGCCAGAGACAAATCGAAAGCACAATAACGCAGGTTGCCACTACTATAGAAGCAGCAATAGCTGCAAGAATGATCAAAATACTTTGGGAACTTTGAATTCTGTTCGGTTTTCTTATCACTGTTACTTTATCTGATGTAATGTTGGTACATATTTCAGATTTCACGTCTTTAATGCTAACATTCCGAATGAGATCTTCGGTTATGCAATACAAATTGTTATAATCAGAAACCATCACTGATTTGTTAGTCAAAACTGGCAGAAATTCCACCATGAAATTACAGTCACAAGTCCACTGATTTTCTGCAAGAGTCATTTTGCTCAAGCCCCAAAACAGTTTTAATGCTGATTCTGGAAGAGTTGTTAATAGATTGTGGTCCAGATAGAGTTCAGAAATTGATGTCAGTGAAGAAAAAGCACTTTTATCTATGTATGAAATTTTGTTATATTCAAGGTGGAGTTCCGTCAAATTCCAAAGTCTGGCGAAAACCCCATCAGTAATACTTTGGATGTTGTTCTTGTTTAAGTACAGTACCCTCAGTTGAGATAGTCCAATAAAGCTGAAGTTTGCCAGAGTTGTAACACCACTGTGATCCAGGTGTATTACTCTTAAATATATTAGACCAACGAAACTTCGAGAGTAAATCTCTGAAATATTATTTCCATCTACAGAAAGTTCTGTTGTCAAGGCCGGAATATTAGATGGTAATTCTGTAAGACCTCGATTTGAACACTGAACAAAATGCATTGCCATGAAGTCTGAGCTGCTGTAACAGGAACATCCAGGGGGACAGACAAACATACAATCACAAGGCTCAAAATCGCAGCAGAAACAGTTATCAGTACACTCTTTTTCATAGGTGCACAACATGTTGTCTGATTGTACGGTGTAAAGTGGAATCGGTGCATCAATCCGATAGCCACTGTGACATTGAAGAAGATACATGTCCCCTACGACCGGGAAACCGGTATCCATACTGACTTCGTTCACTTTTTTCCTTAACCAGATCATATTGCAGTCACACCTGAATGGGTTTTCTGAGATATAAACCATCATTGTTTTACTTCTTTTTATGGGAATGGCGAGATCGTTTATTGCAAGTGTCGATAATTTGTTGCCTTTTAAAGAGAGCTTCTGAAGCTCTTGATAACTGTAGAAGGCATACTCTGTGATATCTTTCAAATTGTTGTAAGATAAATCAAGATTTTCAATATTTTTGGGAAACATTCCACTCATTAACTTAGTTGACAACATATTGGAGCTTAAATCTAAGGATGTAAGTTTTGACAAATCCTGGAAAACCATGGAAATGTTTTCTAATGAGTTATTTTGAAGAGAAAGTGTCATCAAGTTTTTGAGTCCCTCAAACGTGGCCTTATGAACTACCCATATTTTATTGAAAGACAAATCGAGGGATTTAAGACTAGGTACATTAAGGGACTTTTCCATTACAGTTCCACCTATTCTATTTCTTGAGAGATCTAATTTTTCCAGATTTTTTAGCCCTTTAAAACAATCGGAAGGCAGTAATTTTATCTTATTTGATTTAAGGTCTAGTGATTTTAGCATTTTCAGTCCTTTGAAATCAGGCACCAATCCGAGGTCATTATATGAAAGATCAAGTTCTGTAAGAGCTTCTAGATCAGTAAATGCTGCTTTTTCAATAGAACTTATTTGATTTCCATGCAGATCTAGAGAAAGAAGGTTTTGAAGTCCAAAAAAGGTTCCATTTCTTATCACTGATAAATTGTTCTGATCTACATGCAAAAACTGCAATTGAAGCAAGTGCTGAAAAACTTGAGTTGACAGATCTGAAATGCTATTGTTTCCGAGGTCCAGGTTTTGCAAAGAACTAAGGTTCCGTAACACAGTCCTGTTCAGGGAAGTTATATAGTTCCCCTGTAATTGAAGGTCCTTCAACTTATGAAGCGTAGATAATGAATCCCAAATTGTATCACTGAGGCCTGAATAGTCAAGAGTTAAAACAAGTAATTTTACAGGGGTGGAAAATAAATCCTTCTGGACAGATCCCAAAGGATTTCGACCAAGTCCTAATATCTTCAAGTCATTATTAGAATCAAACAGCGACACCGGTACCTCAGAAATGAAATTGTTCGTAATGTCCAAGTATGCCAACTTTTTTACATCTGCCAATGCTCCTGCCTCTAAATTCACGAGGTTTCCGTCAGCAATGCGCAAGTCCTTCAAATCTGGCATGGTTTTCAAACTACCAGATGAGATGTTAAAGATGGAGTTTTTGTCCAAAATTAGAGTGGACAGTTTTGATAAAACAGTTTTATTTTCACATATAACACCGGTAGACTCCATTGATTGAAGATCGTTATCTGTCACATTTACGTATTTCAATTTTGAAGAGAGGCATAGATCTGGCATTTTGGTCACATGACTTGAGGTAACCGTTATGTGAGTTAGTTTCGGTACTTGATGAAATACAGAACTAGCCATCTCCAGCGTCCCAGTTGATTTGATTTCAACTTGTTCGAGAGACTGCATTCCGGACAAAAAATTTTCTGGCATATAAGATATTCTGCAATTTTCTATGCTTAGTCCCATGAAAGATGTGAGGGCACTGAACATATTATCACGCACATGCGAAACAACGTCCTCAGAAGTACACATGATATACAGTATACTGGTGATCTGGGTAAGAATGACGGAAAAGTTAGCGGTGGGGTGGATGTAGTCCAGTCGACAGACAACACTTACGACCTCCTCGTCTACTTTGCCTTGGTAGCAGTTGCACTGTCTTGGGCATGGATATGCCGTCAAAACATCGGCACTTTGCGTGAACCCAGCAATGATTAGAATGCCCCATACCAGGACAAAGTGGTCCCTGTGAAATAAAAATCAAATAATCTTTATGTAATTTTTTTTTATTTTTGGCCAATTCAATGCAAAGAAAATCCATGATAGAATTGTTAGTTGTATATACATGAACATGAAGACATCTTTTGTATTTGCCAATCCAACTTCAACATCGCAGAACGTCAACATGTATTATACTGTGCATAAATCCTTCACCATGCAGTTTTCACCCTCTGACACAGTTACTCACAGCAACTTCTTATAGGTTAAATGGTTAATTCCCTCAAGGTGTCAAATAATTTAACTTACCTGTATCTATTCTTATTTTCGGAAGTAGTATGTTTCATTCTTTTCTTTATATTATAGAAAAAAGTTTGTTTTTGTTTTTTTGGTTTGTATTTTTTTAAAAAGTTCTATGCCAACGTAAAATCGTTTAAATGTCTAAAGACCCCGCCCTCTGTTCAATCAATTATTGACTCAATCGCAAGATATTTTAAATATTTTACGCATTCTATTCATATTTGTTGAGCACTTACGCCCCACTCAAATATGCTTTGGAGAAAAGTATCAGAACGAGCTCAAATCTCGAGGGGTACATATAGAGCAAAATTTAGTACATATAGATTCCCTGTCGAAGTTAACGAAATGACTGAAAATATTACACATACATTGTACAAACATACTACTGCTTCATGTTCATGTTTGAATGTCGGATGTATTTATAAATTTAAACATGACTATGATGACCGTGAATCATATTTGTAACATCTAATTATATTATTCGTACTACATTCATTACTCAGTATATATATATATATATATATATATATATATATATATATATATATATATATATATATATATATATATATATATATATATATATATATATATATATATATATATATATATATATATATATATAAATTGTAAATATTATTGAAAGTTTTACTACATTTTGATAATATCTCTAAATTTATATGACTGTTATTGAATATTCTAACGTTTATTAAATATTCTAACGTTTATTGAATATTCTAACGTTTATTCTTCATATTTCAGGCATAGGGAAAAGTCTTTTTTTTTCTCTACACACACTAGACGCTTGTTTAAAATCTTGTGACAAACTTCATTATTGAAAAAAAAGCTAAAATTAAGTTGAAAATTTTGAAAATATCAATTAGAGGCAAAATACTTATACAGAACGCCATGAATATACTTGGTAATATTCTCAGCTGTTATTACAATTTTATTAAATAAAACTTTCACAAACTTGACTTATCATACCAGTAGATTGTGTAGGCTTACATGTAAGAAACTTGCACAATATCATGCAATTTTTTTTAATATTTCCTTTTTAAAACAAAGCTTGCATTCCTCATTTTAAATTATCTATGTTCAAGACATGTTTTCTCTTCCGTAAACATACCTTTTTATTAAGATTTTCTTTGCCTGTCCTGAACACGTGTATCCTGCATAGATCTTACAGGGGAATGAATAATCATTTAAATCTCAAAAGAGTTTAAACCTAATCATCAAATCGTGGGTGTCAAAAATTATGAATGGAAATAGAATTCGCTTATTTCAATATATTGTCATTCTAAAAAAAAAATGTCAATAAATATTTTTGATGTAATCTCTACTTCCAAATATTTCTAGAAATACTGTAGGAGGACAATATGTTTTCTTCGCAGTACATAGAAAAATGTTTTTATTCCATAGGATGACAATACCTCTTCGATATAATTCAACATATAATATTTATTTTTATGATAATTAAGGAATGGCTTGTAATATCCGGAAATTTATTATCTTTACTTTTTGGTTTTGTGTTTTAGATGTCTGTCACTTCCTATATAGTTTTAGATAAAGATGTGTATTGAACACATGTGTTATTATTCTATTTGGATCGTTCACCAGTAATTACAATAACATTACATTGGCGACGAGGACGGAGACTTCAAAAAACGCGCACCTGAGGATCGCCCAATACGCCATTCCAGGTCGGCAAGTGACTTAACAATAAACATTAACTTTCGATTTGCAATTTCGCTCCACGTGTGATCCACATGAGAAAAATGGCGGCACTTCCCCAGTTTCCCCCATTTGTACTTCATGCAGAAGGAAGCACGGCGACGCGATGGAGAAAGTGGAAAGAACGTTTTGAAAATTTAATTGTTGCTATGAACGTTACAGATAAGAAGCGTCAAAAGGCTTTATTGTTGCATTATGCAGGTGAGGAGGTGCATGATGTTTTCACAACACTGACCCTCGCGGAAGGTGAGGAAGATGTTTATAAACAAGCTGTAGATGCTTTGAACACGTACTTCGTCCCAAAAAGAAACAAGGAATATGACATTTACAAATTCCGGCAAGCAAAACAAGAAACAGGTGAATCCATTGACACATTTCACACCCGCCTAAGGAAGCTGGCTGAAACGTGTGAGTTTACTAACGTCGAAAATGAAATCAAGAGTCAAATTATTCAATCATGCAGTTCCTCAAGGCTTCGTCGAAGAGCACTCCGTGAATCCGAAATTGATTTGAAACAACTGCTATTGCTTGCAAGATCATTTGAAATTAGTGATGCACAAGCTACAGGGATCGAAAATGAAGGTGCGGCACTGGTTAATGCAGTGACAAGGCCCCCAGATAACTCACGTAGAAAGCAAACACACAAAGGAGGGACCAGAAATGGGAGAGGCAGAAGTATACAAAGAGGAACATGTAGAAACAGAGGAAACTCAGAACGACGAAAACATGAGAAAACATGCCATCATTGTGGAGGACCATATCCTCATACTGGACAGTGCCCTGCTAGAGGCCAAAAGTGTAGATCATGTGGTAAACTGAATCACTTCGCCAGGGTGTGCAAATCCAAGATGGTGAAACAACTCCAAACAACAACAACTGAAGTGTCGAGCTCTGAGGACGAATATTCCTTTCATATCAACAAACCTAAGGGAAACAGTAAGCAACCAAAAACCAAAATAAGAATGTTCGGCACAGACGTGGAAATGCTAGTTGATACTGGAACAACAGTGAACATAATTGATGAAACTTGTTTTGCCAAACTCAAGGAACGTCCAAATATTGATCATACTGGTACAAGGGTCTACGCATATGGATCCAAAAAGCCAATAGACTTAGTTGGTAGTTTCAGAACTGAAATTTCATCTATCACTCACCGTACAAAGACAACTACAGAACTATATGTTGTGAAAGGAAGTTATGGATCACTTCTCAGCTACCAGACTGCAGTGGACTTGGACGTCATACCAGTTATTCGTTTAGTCACGCCGTCCAGAACTGAACAGATCATTGATGAATTCTCGGACAGATTTGAAGGCATTGGGAAAATAAAAGACCTACAGTTACAGATACATGTTGATGATACGAAAGCGCCAGTCGCACAGCCGCATAGGAGAATACCCTTTCACATGAGGAAAAAGGTGGAAGCTGAGCTAGAGAGACTTGAAAAACTTGATATTATAGAGAAAATTGAGGGACCCACTCCCTGGGTTTCCCCTATAGTGGTAGCCCCTAAACCAAAGAAGCCAGAGGAAATTAGGATCTGTGTTGACATGAGGCAGGTGAACACTGCAATCAAGAGAGAACGGCATATTACACCCACCATAGATGACATCATACTTGACCTAAATGGATCTCGTGTATTCTCAAAGTTGGACCTCAACTCAGGATATCATCAGGTGGAACTAGCACCCGAATCACGAAACATAACAACATTCACTACGCATGTTGGTCTACGGAGGTACAAACGCTTGATATTTGGAATCAGCTGTGCTGCAGAAAAATTTCAAACTATTATCAGAGACTGTTTGGAGGGACTAGAAGGCACTCGAAATATCAGTGACGATATAATTGTGTTCGCAAAAACACAAGAGGAGCATGATCAAAGGCTCAAGAAGGTACTACAGAGGTTACGTGAGAAGAACATAACCTTGAACAAGTCAAAGTGTGAATTTAACAAGAACTCTGTAGAATTCTTTGGATACCACTTCAGTGCAGAAGGGATGTCAGCAGACCCAAAGAAGATAGATGCCATTAAATCAGCTACAGCTCCACAAAATGCAGGTGAACTTCGTAGTCTTCTGGGATTAGCCAACTATGTCTCTCGCTTCATACCAAACTTTGCAACAATTGTGGCTCCACTACGTGTTCTCACTCACCAGAAAACTACTTGGCATTGGGGAAAAGAAGAACAATCAGCATTTGATGAACTGAAGGATAAACTAACTACTGATGTTATGGCCTACTTTGATTCTGCAAAGAAAACAAAGCTTCTGGTTGATGCAAGTCCAGTGGGACTCGGAGCAGTACTCACTCAAGAGGGAAGGATCATATCCTATGCAAGCAAAGCTCTCTCTGACGTGGAAACAAGATACTCCCAGACGGAAAAGGAGGCGTTAGCCATAGTGTGGGGAATTGAACACTTTCATCTCTACTTATTTGGTGCTGAATTCATACTTACTACAGATCACAAGCCCCTGGAGATAATCTTCAATAATCCAAGAAGCAAACCCCCAGCCAGGATCGAAAGGTGGAGGTTACGATTACAGCCATATGACTTTACTGTTGAATATCGTCCCGGGAAAGGAAATCCAGCTGATTATATCTCCAGGCACCCTCTGAAATCAGAGAACATACTCCGACACTCCAAGATAGCAGAGGAATACTTGAATTTTGTTCTGTCTTCAGCAAAGCCAAAAGCACTATCACTTACCCAGATTACTGATGCATCCAACAAAGACCCTATCATTCAAGAAGTAATATCAAGAATGCTGAAAGGAGAGTGGAAGTCAACCCCAAAAGATGCTAGAGTCCAACCGTATCTTCGCATTCGTGACAAATTGACTATTGCACCAACAGAACATGGCAGCATACTACTATTTGAAAATAGAGTTGTCATACCAATCACCCTTCAACAGGATGTAGTAGCACTAGCACATGAAGGACACCAAGGACTGGTCAAAACCAAGCAGCTTCTACGTGACAAAGTCTGGTTTCCTGGAATTAACCAACAAGTTGAAAATGCCTGTAAACAGTGCGTACCCTGTTTAGCTTCTACTCCCACAAACCATCAGGAACCGCTTCAAATGACAGAAATACCGAAATCACCATGGTCTCGGGTATCAGCTGATTTTTGTGGTCCGTTTCCGACAGGAGAATATGTACTAGTCATGATTGATGACCACTCCAGATATCCAGTGGTTGAGATACTAAGATCTACTTCAGCGAAGTCTGTAATACCAGTAATGGACAAGGTCTTCTCGCTATTTGGAATACCGGAAGAGCTAAAGACAGACAATGGCCCACCATTTCAAAGTCAGGAGTTCAGCAAGTTCTCAGAATATCTTGGCTTCAAGCACAGGAGGATCACGCCATTATGGCCAAAGGCGAACGGTGAGGCTGAAAGATTCATGCGCACTCTTGGTAAAGCTATTAAAACAGCCAACGTAGAATGCAAAAACTGGAAACAGGAGATGTTTACATTTCTTAGAAATTATCGGGCAACACCCCATAGTACTACAGGTCAGTCTCCAGCAGAAGGACTACTAGGCCGTAAAATGAAGACAAAACTACCTGAAATGGTGGAAAGGAAGGACAAGCGAACCGATGTATACAAGAATGATAGACAAGCCAAGGAGAAAATGAAATACTATGCAGATACAAAGAGCAAAGCAAGAGAATCCTTGTTGAAAGAAGGTGACACAGTTCTAATAAAGGTTCCAAAGGAAAACAAGCTTTCGACTCCATTCAACACTACACCTTATGTAGTAGCACAGAAACATGGAACTCAGATCACGGCAGAAGGAGAAGGTCGCAGGGTAACACGAAACTCGTCCCACTTCAAGAAAGTTGATATCGATCAGGATGTTCTGAAAGATCCAAAAGAGCGTGAGGAGGAGCTTGAGGAAATTGAAATTCCTAACGTACCGAATGTCCGTCAGGAGAAGCCAGAAATCCAAACCCCGACAGTTCAAGAAAGTCCATTATCTTCCGTCCCGACCGGTAACAAAAGGCCTTCGCGTGCAGTGAAAATGCCCGGATACTTGAAGAATTATGTGCTTTCTTAAAATATTCTTTGGATGTGTTGTGTGTGAAATAATCCAATATCTGTGACTTTATTTGGTTTAGCAAAATATGCTTTATTCTAGTCATGATTATTCTAGTCATTCAATGTGTATTGTGAATCTCAAGTTCATGAGTCAAATAAGCTACTTCTACGTCAATTATTGTGAAATGTAAAAACAGTTAAATTAGCCAAATCTATGTACTTAAATGTTTTAATCTTCTATTCAAAAAAAAAAAGAAAATGTGATGTAATATCCGGAAATTTATTATCTTTACTTTTTGGTTTTGTGTTTTAGATGTCTGTCACTTCCTATATAGTTTTAGATAAAGATGTGTATTGAACACATGTGTTATTATTCTATTTGGATCGTTCACCAGTAATTACAATAACATTACATGGCTCAGTATACATTTCCATCTCATATCTCAAAATACAACCATTGCTGGATATTAATTGTACTAGATACCCCTGGAATAGAGGGATGTGTATTTGAGGAACAAAAATACCTGACCTGACCTTAAATACATGTACCTTCCTTAACATATATACGCCCCCTCCAACCAAGCAGGATAATGATCTCTAAAGCCTTCGGGTTTTAACACAGCTGATTTTGACTGAAATGCATGTTTCATTTTCACAGGCTTTTACGCATTTATTTATATATATTACACAATAACATACTTATAAGAGTACATGTTAACAAGGTTTGCAAGTCCAATTACGTAGTAAGAAATAATTACATTCATATTCTTACAAGTGGGTACAGCATGGCTATTGAGATAAGGAACTTAACTAATTAGCACTAACACAGGAGAAGCCAAACCAGGGCCATCTGACTCCTGTTATGTTCCCTGTCAGAAAACCACTTCCACTGTAAAGAATCGCAATCTTTACACGCATTATAAACAAACATGACTAACTGAAAACCCTTTGTTTAGAATAGCAGAGAAAAACTGTCTAAAAAATTCATGAGAAAATAATTTGGCTGTCTAGCAACGAAGAGTTCTTCATTTTTTTCGGTTGGAATACATGATACATTTAGATAGTTTTTGGTTTATTTCTGTAAAGGATGCTACTGGATTTTTGTAGATAAGATGTGGTTTTCCCTGCAGTGGTGCGGTGTAAGAGATCTTCCTATTGAGATAAAAGCTCCCTCTTCACTGATAAATATAACGTGCTCACCGAAATTCTTATAACACTATACAGATTGTAATTCTTCAAAAGTAAAGTAAGGTTTTGTCGACAACAATTGTGTCTTTTTCTTAATATGAAATGTAATAGAAAATAAAATAGAAAGAAAATGAAATAATCAAGGAATTGAAAAGAGAGAGAGAGAGAGAGAGAGAGAGAGAGAGAACGAGAGAGACTGAGACTTACATGTTGATTATTCGAATATCCATAAAAAGCAGAAGAAATTACATCCATTTCTTTCCTCTCTTTTCCCCCTAATTTTAACGCACATTTCACAGCATCTGACAGGCTGCATTCTCTGTTTAAAATTTGTTCGATAATGTCACATCATTAAGTCCCCAGGCTATAGTTTTTCATCCTTGCCGGAAATTAAACCCTTCTTAATCAATAAATTTACTCAGTTATAAAAAACAATATTCTTTAAAATAGGCCTTGAAAACGCCTGCGAACAAATTAACGCTGGCGACTCGTTTTACTTTGTAGCGTGGTAAGACGAATGGATTGCACTTGATGTATAAAACAATTTGAAGTGTTGGACCAGCCTCTTTACAAGATGGGATCTCAGCATGTATAGCGAGAAAGGAGAGCAAGTGAATAATAACGTGAACTGATTGGTTGTAATAACCATGTGAACATAGCACATACAACAATCAACAGTTAAATTGTTCATTTTAAGCTTGATATTAACTCGAAAAATTTAAAACAAAATGTTTGTAGTTATATTTTTTATGATTGTCTTTTTTTATTACAAACTTTTTTGTGAAGATTTAAAATATCTTCACAAGTTTGAAAAAGGATATCCTACATTTGTATGAAACACAACACATGTTCATGCATAACAGTAGATTTTCTCGTGAATATGAATTGCAATTTCCTTTAAAAAGTAAAAGTAAAAAAGAGAGGGCTAGAGTTCACTATTATAAAAGCGGTTTTAAGTAATTAAAGGTACAAATTTATAACTGATTGTGGAGTGCAGTCAGAATTTTTTTTTTTAAAAGTCACTTTTTAATTTACTGAATAGGTGAAAATGAAAAAAAAAAAATTAGAAATGCCGATTAAATTTCGAGTTTCTTTGACACCCACTCAATAAGATAAAAATAGAGACTTCATACACCTCAAGAATTTTAATAGTCGCATTGTTGAAGTTTGTAAGGGCTTGAAGTGCGAACGAACAGATTTAAAATGGAACACACCTTCCCTTCCACTATATCCACTCTTTCTGCAAATGGAAAATATATGCGTAGAAAATTTAGAATAAGGGTTTTTTATTTAAGAAAATTTATCCTCGCCATTTGTACGTACTTATATATACTACATGTATTTCATATGTATTTCACAGTATTAGCAAAAACGCATCCAATGGACGCAGGACAATTTAAGGTGTGAATGGACATTTTAGCGGGAATTTTTTTCGACATTTTAGGTGAAGATCAATTGTTAATCTGTTTAAAAAGCAAAAGGAAATTTTTAAACAATCAATGTAAAGTCAGCAAAAATAGATCGGCTGAATAATGACTTAGTTAGAGATTTCCACATTAAAGATTTGAAGTCTTCTCTTAAATTGAATAAAACTAATACGTACAGAATTTTTGAACATATTTTACTGATTAAATCCAAAGGATTGGAAACAAGTCCTTCCATCAGATTGGTCCATCTCCTTGATTATGGCAATATGTCTTGCAAAATAATATAATGTAATGTGAAATTTACAAGTGAAATTCTGTTAGATAACAGTAATTTAAAATCTAAAGTTTCAGTAATAAATTTAATAATAAAAAAAAAAAAGTTCTAATCTGTAAAGGCAAATTTACATCACCCCATTATACGGATTCGTTACAACAGTGATCAATTCATCAATTTTAAACGGGCGGTTAAAAAGATTATTTCGAGCATTTGGATAATTTCTACAAACAAAATAGAACTTATATACATCTTTGTATTAACAAATGAACAAAAAGAACTTCCTGTGTGTTACATGCATTTTGACAACAGATTATAATAGGGTTAAATCGAGGGTTGTTCATTCTTTAGTATTTCAATCATATTTTCAAACCCAGTCATAAGGTAGATACCTATACATAAGCATAATGAGTATAACCCCTTCCCATCTAGAATGTGACTCTTTTAAAAGTAAAGCTGAAAATCAAAGATCCGCCCATGAGTGTGAAATGTCTTGTAGCTAGCTAACTGCGGAAGAAGATTGCCTTAGTTTGTTGTTATGGTAATAAATCGGTCCTGTCAATAAAAAAAAGATTGATTGTTGATTGAGTAGCTAAATCAAAACAAACTTTAATTGCCATTAAACATGTTGGTGTGAGGGCAACAGCTGTAATAATCCCAATTAGGTTGCATTAAACATTTTGCGTTTTGTAATTTGTTATAGACAGTTTGGATTTAGAATTGCTTGAATGAATCAAAATTTTAATTTGATATCATTGGTAAATCAATTTAATGTACAGATCGTTTCATCATATAAACTGATTCATTAACTATTTTTTAATGGTATTCTCTTCCCACAAATTTTTATTTAAATATAAAATTTGGTCATTACACCAAATTTTATATTTTAATAAAAATTTGTGGGAAGATAATACTGGAATCATTATTCTTTCTTCAACCTATTTTCAGCTGAAACAGCTATGATGATTTACTAGTCCTTATTTAAACAAAAACGGAGCAAAAACTCGACACTGATATACTGATACTATATCTTAATATATTCCAATGAAGCAGAATTTATTCTCATACAAAACTCATAAACAGAAGAAAAAACTCTTGTTGTGGCCATTAACTCAACATTTAGATACATGTATATCGATGACATTTTATCAATTAATAATAGTTACTTTCATTCATATGTTGACTTGATATATCCCAGTGAACTCCAAGTCAAAGACAGTGCAGAGTCTGACACATCTGTTTCAAATTTGGATGTTTTCCTAACTATAGAGGATAATGGCCAACTAATAACTAAACTGTATGACAAACGAGATGACTTCAGTTTTCCATCGTCAACTTCCCTTATTTATAGAATAACATCCCAACATTAATTGCATATCTCTGCTAACTAATACAATGCGCAAGAGCATCAAGTTTTAAACCGAGGCAAGCTACTGGTAAATAAGTAGATGTAACAAGGATTTCAACAGCACCGTTTAAAATCAGCTTTCCGCACATTCTATACGGCCGTCATAATGACCTCGTTTATAGATAAAACCTATATCGTTAGGTCGTATTTTGCCTGCCACGTTTCATACCATTTGTTGGGTCATTGCTTTGTACTAATTTTGACTACGGAGTACTCCATATACCTGATCAATACACATAGGGCACACGGCGGATATGACCGGTCAACAGGAAATGCTTACTCCGCCTATGCACCTGCTCCCATCTCTGGTGTTTCGAGAGCGTTCCGCAGTGGTCAGAGCGTTTGCTCTAGACTCGCAAAATAAGGAGTTGCTCCTTACGTCGCGGGTCCTAATCCCACTGTGGGACGTGGAAACCGATCCTTCGAATGAGCCCGTATAAACCGAAGCCCCGTGTCGCAGTAGGTGTTGGCACAAAAAAAAAATCACTCACTGCTCAATGGCCTTGAGAGCCAAGTATAGGTCCAAATTTGCACCCCTCCACCGGCAAGTGGTGGTGTCTCCATATGAGTGAAAAATTCTCGAGAGGGACGTTAAACAACATAGAAATGACTTGATTTACATTGTCTAGATATGTACATGACGAACCACAAATGAATTCTAATGATTCTATTTACCTTTTATTCAAATTCAAATATAACAAAATTATTTTTTATCTAACTATCATTTTGAATTTTGAATTTGCTGAGAGGGTGTAAACACAGAATTTCCAGCAAGATTACAAACTAGTCATACGTTTTTAAAAAAATGTTCACCCAGTAATCTTTGAATTTACATGACGTTACTAGTATATAAATATACTCAGTCATAATTAGATAATTTTGTTTTCCATCCTAAATATTTTAAGATTTTCATATATAGATAAGAACAACTTAGAATAAAAAAAACTACAATGTCAAATTTACCAACTCCTCATGTTTTAGATTTATAATACAACCTCTGCTATCTTTAACCCACAATTATTTCTTGTAGAAAATATCTGCTTTACAAAACAACTTAACTAAGACCAAAAACCTGTTGATTGTAAAATTTTGCAATGATTCTGTTTAAAATTTCTAGCGTAAAAATATCTTGCTATACATTCCTTTTAAAAAGAGTAAAACCATTTTTCAATTTAATGTGAATAAGAAAGTTATAAGCAAAATAAAATTTTGGTCAAAGTCGTAAGTTCTTTTGTAAAACGTGCCCCTGCATCTATAAAAAATATCTGGAGTCAGAAATAACGCAATAAAAAAGGGTAAATTCACAATCTTACTCATATGCTTGAAAACAAAAACATTTTGAAAGGACATTCCATGATAATCGATTCCTTATTTTTGTTGCATGCATATTATCCTTTAATAATCATGAATATGTGGGTATTTCATAGTTTAATCACAATAGCTCTTAAACCTTTGACAAGTAAACTAGTGCACAGACTTAAGCATATTTATATGATCTGCATTTCTCTTCTAATTGGGGCCAGGGAAGAACACATATACACTGTACCATTTACATATCTTAATATGTACTTCCATTTTCGTTTATAATCATGCAAATATCATAGGAAATTTAAGCAATTCGAGTTCCTTAACTTTTTTTTCACTATTTTCTAGCATCTTTTGAATTCGAAGTTTCTAAAAAAAAAAAAAAAAAAAAAAAATTGTGTCTGCATGCGAATTCATAGAATTAAGGAGCGTTTTCACCCTACAGATGAGAAGAGGATCATGCAGATTATGTAATCCCTGTGTAATGTGCTCACCTTGGTTAGGAGCTAATTGTGTAATTTGAACCTGCTTGATGTTTTATTAATTAATTCTTTTCATTTGACATCGAGGTCTTTATTTTTTAAGTCTGAATGAATATCGATTGTGTTATCTTTGTCATAGGGAAGTGATGTATGACTGTATTTTAACAACAAAAGCCAGACAAGTGAATTCCCTCAATGCCAACAGAATGCAACATTACGATCCTTTTATAACCCTTCCTAGCTCTGGAAGATTTTGCAAGGAGGAAAATGAACCGCTCTGCGACTACTCCATAAACGGTTCGCATTTGGCGCTATGTAAATCAGGGATTTGGCGGCGACTGTTGTCCCGAGAGAGCCGTTCTGTTGGTTGTGTTTTCAGAGTTTCCAAAACAGAACGAGCGCTTGAGTGAATTATTTTCTTGCCCTTTTATTGATAAAGCCATTGTATGATTGATCACTATGAGCTCTCTGGGGATCACTAAATGAGAAATATTGTACATTTTTATTCAACATTCAATTGTTGTGAGCGGCGAGGCAATTTATTGTAATGAGATTTTATATTAATGTTTGGCTTAAGATTCCATCTCGTTCCTTGC